AAAGGAAAGGAAGAAAGGAAAGGAAGAAAGGAAAGGAAGAAAGGAAGCAAGGAAGGAAGGAAGGAACGAAGCAAGAAAGGAAGGAAGGAAGGAAGAGGAAGGAAGGCTGCGAAATTGCCATGCCAAGTTACATTGCGGGGGAGGCGCTGCGCCCTCCCCCAGGCCCCTCCCGCTTTTAATTGTTGAGCGTAGAAACAGTTTCGGGTATAGCTTTCTAGACTAGCCCATTCCTATTTATGTTACCTAATTGTATATATATTTTTTAATATATACATATATTGGTTTTATTGTTAACTTATCTAATTCTATTTGTGTATGTTCTTTTCTCCCGTCCTTCCTTCCTTCCTTCATTCACTCACTCACTCATTCATTCACTCATTCAAAACTGAGTTGAACTGAACTGAATTGTCACCTCACTTCACTTCACTTCACTTCGTTCGTTTCATTTCATTTCACTTCATTTCAGTATAGTTCATCTCATATCATTTGATTTCATGTCCTTCATTTCATTCGTCCATTGACTCACTCATTCTTTCTTCCTTTTTTCTTTCATTTTCATTTTCATTTTCATTTCATGTGATTTTCCTGTTTGTTATTTTGATGTGTTTCTGTTCTTTTGATCATTGCATCGAATGGAATTTTGCTCTTCCCTCTGCACGTTTGAGTGGGTTTACGCTTTGATTTATTCATTTTTGTTTTTTGTTGATCCCTCGCCCGGACATTCAAGTTTGATGATCTAATGAAATGTGGTGACAAAGTGTGGCGCGATGAAGTCTGCTATGTTAAAAATTTGATTTGATCAATTGTGTGTCATACAGTGTGGCGTGACGGTGTGCCATTTTCGGTATCAGGGACAAGGACAAGGAGGAGGAGAGGAGGAGAAGGAGCAATGAGCAACCCAGTAAACTCAAGAATTCCGCAAATGATGTGGGATACTATGGATATGGCTACCAAAGGTAAAATCCATACATTGTTTTCGGGCCTCGAGTTAAAAAATGCACTCAACAAGTCACCTCTTCAACTAGCGTTTTGGAAACCACCCAGATTTGCATTGCAGTGGCCATGTTCTGAGGAACAACCTGGGTTGGGGCCATGAGGTGACCCCTCACGGGAACTTTGGGGCCCATACAAAGAGAGCATTCAGCTTACAAATTGGGTGGAATCCATGTCGTTTCGGTATATCACGGATGCTGTTGAGGCTCCATGACCAACCCCACCACATTCTACAAGCTTTGGTTCAGGTGATTGTTTTGATTTTTTACATGTGAAAAAAACAGCCGAAGTCATCGGAAGCGCCGTGTTTTCGGGGAAGATCCTTGGTGCCGCGAGGTCCCGCTCTTGCGACGATCTGGGCGCATGATCCGGAAAAAAAACTGAGCGTGACCATAAAAATCGAAAGGTCCAATAGTAGCATCCTTGTTCCTAGTAGTAAGGCCAGGAGCGCCTAGTAGCGTTCTTGCCCCTAGTAGCGATGCCAGGAACCCCTAGTAGTTTCTTGTTTCTATGATTGAAGAAGAAACTGAATGACATAAGCAGAACATTTGGACACGATGTCGCGCGTTGGTTTTCCAAGTTTTCCCAGCCTTTTCAGCGTGATGAATAGTAGGCTATTATTATAGGACAAGGACTGTCATAATGGCAACTGTGACATTAAATAAAGGTGACCTTCCATGCTTGGTACATGGAAATTTGTCCCGGTTCGCCCAAAGTGCATTTAGATTGTGAAAGGACCAGTGGCGAGTTTCATCGCGCCCACAGTGCGTCCACTAGACCGAGCAGCTCCACAGTGAACACACCATCCTGAGAGGCAGTTGAACATCCTCTACCGGGGCTTGGAACTTCTTAAGGTTGGTGGACGCCTGGTGGAATACCTAGCACGTGTAGCGTGTGAGTGTTGATGTTGAAGGGCGTTAACTACGGACTGCTTGGGAGTTGTCAACAATAGTCGATGTTTTTCGAGAAAGATCACAGGGAGCCCCGACCTTTTTTTTCTTTTGCGGAGTTCCTGGCAAGTCTCATGTTTTTGGCCTCAGTGCTTTTGTTGCACTGCAAGGTCTACAGCACCTGCAGCTTGAATCCCATTGAGGATGAGGAGAGGACATCATAGAGACTAAGAATGTCTACTGCATGAACGCAATCTTGTGGAAGATGGTAAAGGACAGTTCAGCTCGCCGATGGATGCAGCTTCCCCTGGGATTTTGAAACAGGAAAGCCCCAACTGAAACCTTTGGAGAGCTTCTTGCAACCCGAGACCCTTAGGGCGGGGGAGCTTCCTGCATCCAGTAGGTAATAGCTTTCTGTACCTACTAGGAGCAAGAAGCTACTAGGAGCAAGGGCATCGCTACTAGGGGCTCCTGGCATCGCTGCTAGGAGCAAGGACCTACTAGTAACAAGTGCCACGCTAGTAGTAACAGGTGCCTTACTAGTAGTAACAAGGGAGCTACTAGGAACAAGTGCATCCAATGGCACCCCCCTCCGTCCTTGGGGTCCTTTCCGACAGTCAGGCCGTGGTGGCTGCAGCACTGAAGCGCCATGGTGCGGCGGTGAAGTACCTCGGTGAGTGCTCGTTGCTCGTTGCTCGTTGTTTTGTAGTAAACATCTTCTTGCTAGTAGTAACAAGTGCCTTACTAGTAGAAACAATAAGCTAATAGCTTCTTGCTCCTAGTAGCAATGCCCTTTGCTCCTAGTAGCGTCCT